CTGAGTTATGGACATTCCCACATTCATATTTCTTTCTGGCTAGTGTTTGATGAAAGCTCAGGGCAATCCAGCCAGTGCCCATCATGTTCTCTGCAGAAGTATATTTATCTCAGCAATAATTTCCATAGCATTGACCACAGCAAGCTGGAAATAGCTAAGCTGTTGGTTACCTGAATTTTAGCCAAGTCTGGAGAATACCAACAGAAAACAAACAGCAACCACAAATACTATCTTTGGATATGGTTATTTTTATAAATTAGAGCTGGCAAAAAGGTTATGTAAGATGATTAAAAAGATTTATGGGGAGTTTAACTATAGCCATAAAATATATTCTACTATGATAACTAACTCATTAATTTTCTGCAAAAAAAATTAGCACCCAAATTTCACTACATACTATGGCTTTCTGTATAACGCTCTCTATCTGATTCATGCCATTTGTGGGGTGGATATAAGATCACTTTTAGTAAGAGCTTCCTGGCATCTAAGTAATTCAACCTTTTCGGTGGGCTATAAGGTACATATACCTCATCCCAAATTCTATTCTATAATGAATAGGGTTGTTACACTGGGGGCCTACTGCACTAATAATACTGTCTATAAACAAACCACACTGAGGAGAAAACTACGGAGGAATACTCATGAAGAGGAAAGAGGCTATGACATTGATTTGTGGGTTTTGTCAGTAATTACTCACGCTAACTTTGACTTCACTGTGGGTAAATCTAATTGAAAAAGATTTTTGCTCTTCATGTAGCTTCGCTCTTCGATGATGGCTGGCAGGGACATCCTAATCAGGTATTATTAACAACATTGTTTGTAAGTATAAAAATTATTTAAAAAATTCAAGACAAGGATCTCAGTAAAGACCATTAAAAAGGAGGAAACAGGCCTGTGAAAGAGAAATCTAATTTAGAAGCCATACAGAAGTTAAAAATAAATATGAGAAACAACTCTGAAGACTTGTATGATGGCAGAAAAAGAATCTCTTTCTAGACCGGCATAACACTTTGCATCTTGCTGGGAGAGATGCTATAAAACCAGGCATGTGTTCTACAGTATTGGCGGAAACAATAACTTCTTTTCAATTTCATTATAAAACACATTTCTTTTCAATAAGATACTTTAATTAACTTGGAATTCATATTGTGGTTTCTCTTTCTAGCTCTTTGTTCAACTGAACTAAAGTAGTACAGAGAAGAACTGCTGGGTTTCAGCACCAAATCATACTTTACCAGTTGATGTAAGAATAACACCTGGGTTGTAGAATAGTCAATTGGTTTATTTTGATTTATGAGCAACTGGCTAGCCCCCAGTACAGGTCCTGCACCGACCCTGACCAAGGTCATCATGTGATGCGCTAGAGGCATTTCAGTAAAATGTATTTCCCAACTATGCAGGCCCTGTGATTCCACCTCTCTTCAAATCACAACATGCTGTGAGATCCGAAGCCGGGAATATGTCAGAGTTGATAGTTTCCTGAGAGACAGGAGGCTTGAGTGACTTCAAGCCCCGCTGCACACCCCACTGGCACTGCTTTTCAGCCTTCCACCTGTTCAGTTGCTACAAGCAAAAAGCTCTCAGAGCTAAGCTGTTGGTTCTTCAAGTCAACACATCTGGACCCTTCAGTTTCTTAAATTTCCTCAGCAGATGTGCCTCCTAAATGATTAGTCATCTCATTTTTCTTCTCTTGCAACTTTGCTTCTCTTTTATCTGTGCACTTAGAAGGCTGCGTGATCTGCTGACCTAGACACCAGATGCTAGAAACGTCTTCTACATGTGGATACCTTTGAGTCAACTATTTTTTCACCTGCTAACTGCAGTTCTTGTCAAGAGAGGATTCCAAAAAAATCCTCCCACTACCGTCTACAAAATCACAGACACAAAAATCCTACCTCATTGTTCTGAGGGAGACAGGAAGGATGAACTAATGATTAAGAATAATTACGCAATATTTGGAAACAGATATACTGTTCTCTAAACACAAAACGTGGAAAAGTCCATTAGCCAGCAGACTGGAGAAGATCCCTTCTTCATAGACCTAAATTTGCCTAAGTAGTTTTTTCAGATGACATGCTTGTGAAATAGACATACTCCCTTTGAAAATCGGTAAAAAACAATGAGTGGAACATGGGCAAAGTAAGTAAAAGTGGGAAGAGTATTAATGGTGGGTGACCAAGGCCACCAGCTACATAGGCAAATGCAGTCCTGGGAACTGACTGCTCAGAGTAACCTTGTTCTTCAGGGAAGGTCCTGAGTCAAAGGGTGGAAGACCCCAACACTGTTGTGTTGTATTTATATTTGTACCCATTCTCCACTAAGAAGTGGAGTGGGGAAGATGGAAAATAGGGCTAGAAGGTCCTTTCCCTCTTCCAGAAGGCCTTTACTCCAATCAGTTTTTTCTGGGCTTACAGTGCCTCTCTTGTCAACAACACTCCTCGTTTTCCACACACTTCTTATGGCTACCAACGATAATAGCTCTATGTGGTATCCTCACATATTTAAAAAGAAAGAATTGAGATGAAATATCCTCAGCACAGAAGAACTTTCAACTCTTAGAATACAGTGTCTGCAGATAGTATAAGATTCCCTGGCTTGAATATGTGATGAGAAGATTTTCAGCCTCAGTAAAGCTTAATTCTACTGGTTCTCCATTTGTTACAAGAACCTCAGACAATGCCAATATGTAACTTTAGTATATTACATCCATTTATATGAATATGTTTGTAAATATGCTTGTGTATATACACAAACATACACACACATCCATCTCAAATTCCAAAGGTTGAGTACCATTTGCAAAGGACAATTCTTTACTTCTAAATAGTTTGTATAATTGAAACAGAACCAAAATCCTCCTTTGGAAAACGTATGAACATGTCTTGGTTTACCAATCCACATGAGGTGCTGAGGCCTACTAGAGTGGTTTCACCCCAAAAATCCCCTGACTTGGACCTGGATCCCTGAAACGGTTTCTTTGTGATCCCGGATCTCAGTTCCTGCTTCCCACAACTCTCCTCCTGCCATGACCCTTGTCCAGGGGCTTCCATGGACACTAGGATGATTCTACGTTGACTCCAGTCTCCTGCTCAATTGATTGTGATCTCTTTAAAATACAGGGATGAAGAATGGCTGGGAAAAGTTTGGGAAAGAAGGGTTATTGTGCGGTTTTGCCTTACAGACATTAAAATGTATAACGTGGTTAAAATAATTAAAAATAGTATCCAACTGGTAGGTACAAGGAAAGAGGCAGAGAAATAGCAATAGTATATAGGAAAGCAGCATGCATAGCACAAGCCCAATTGAATGAACAATATTTAACTGTGTATATAAAAAGCTAATATGATTATCTCTGGGTGGTTCTATTATGGGTTCCTGGTATTTTCTTTGACTTACAGTCCTTTTGTGAAATAGAAAAACAAAAAACAATGGGAAAAAATCCAAGTTTTAAGTATAAATCAGAAACTGGGAGAAATATTTGAAACCAATAAGAAACAGTTTAACATCCTTAATAAATATAAATTATTACACATAAGTATGTGTAAATATGTAATATATTACATATACTATATAAAGTAATATGTAAATATATGACATATATGTAACTATGTAAATATATTACATATACTATATGAAGTCAATATATACAAAATATGTAAGATGTCTACCAAAAAAATGAGCATCAGAAAGGCTGAGAACACAAAATTAGCAAAAATATTGTGTAGGAAAAAGTACATAAAAATAAGCATAAAACATGTTTTGCCACATTAGTAATAAAAAATCAAAAATTAATCCTCTAAGGTACAATTTTTCCAAATCAGCAAAGATTTGAAATAACCAATAACAGTAAAAATGAATAAGGATCCAATCAGTTGGACATTCCCATATGTTGCTTTAAATGATACCCCAAGCCCAAGTCCTTTATCTGAAATCATTAGAGATGTGCTTCAGACTTTGGAATCCTTTAGAATTTTTTAAAAAGTTACCTGTTATGTACATTAAGCAGAAACTGCAGCCAGGCGAGGGGCAGTACATCATAATCAGACACATTAATATTTCTGCAGTTGAACATACAAATATTCACAAGAAGTAGAATAAATGAAAGACTGAAAACAGCCTCATTTCTGCTGATGACAGTTCTGCTACAAAATGAGTTCAGGTTAGATTTTACTACAAAATGAGTTAGGAACAAATGTATGGTTTTCAGAGCTTTTTAGATTCTAAAGTTGTTGATAAGGAATTCTGAACTGTTCATAGAATCTCAAAATCAATTTGGCCACATAATTATAAATTTAGACTTTAAAAGGTACATGCATTTTGACCAATTTCAAGGAGGAACCAAATAGAAACATACAAAGAGTTATACTTCAGGATATTCATAAGAATTTTATTTACAACAATACAAATGAAATTGGCATAGACTTGTAACAGCAGAGTAATGGGCTGCCTTATGAAACAGTCAAATACAGGGCTATTATATGGCCATGAAATCATTTTGAGAATACTCAATGACTCAGGAAAAGGCTCATTATTTATTGTTGAATAAAAGATATAAACTTCATATTCGGTGTGATACCAATTAAAAAATAGATGTATATTTGTAGAACAAAAGACTTGAAAAATACGCCAAAGTACTAATAGAGATTATAGCTAACCACTGGAATCATAGGTGATTTTTACTGTATTGTTCATAACTATGTCTTTGCAGTTTTTCTTATAATGAGCATGTAATACTTTTATAATTATTAATTTTCTATACAGGATTTATCCTATTAATCTTACTGTTTATCTGAGTACATAATACAACGCCTGGGGGAGGTTTTACCACTAGAGATGGAGCAAATGACTCCGGTTGGCTCTCGCCCTAGCACCATCACTGTCCTGGGGAACTTAGTTCACAGGACTGAAGCCCTGAAGGAGACTGCTGGCTTCGCAGCTCAGAGTGGTGGTGGGGAGGTGGGGTAACTGCTACTCTCCGTGAAATCACAACCATCACTTACTTGACACCTGCTGAAAAGCTCATCACAGGGAAGAAGAGCCCGTCTGTGTTGAAGTTCTCAAACATCCCCTGCACAGGTTGTCCATTGATGCGGAATGAAATGCTGGGCACCCCGAGGTCCAGGCAGCAGCTTACCACATCATCTGATCTCAGGAGGTGCTGGTTGATGGAAGCCACAGCTCTGGGTATCCGGCCTGGTGAGGAAAGAACAGGAAGAAGGCTGTGGAACTCTGGAGGCACCTGCGAGGCTGAGAAAGGCTCAGAGGCCTCCGGGGGAGATGGGGAGGTGTGATGGGTACCCAAGAGGTCCAGAGGTCCTACTACATTTGAAATGCAACTTTGCTTTTCCTGTGTGAGATGAGCAATGAGAAATGAATTCCTAAGCTGGCGAGTGGGCAGACTCCATGCCCGATTTGAGATGAGTCTCAGGGGAAATGCTCAAGGTGCTAAGAATGAGAAAGAACAAAAACAACCCGTTCAATGTGTGTTCAGACTGTGGCCTGGTGTCCGAAGTAGCAGACAAAATGCTTTTGCTGGTGTAGCGCTTCAGAGGTGGCTGGGGTGTGTGTGTGTTTAGTTTTAAGTGCCGAAAGACCTTTCTGTCTTCTACTTCCTCAAAAAGATTAGGTTTCTCTAGCGTTGAATAGAGAAGCCATCAGAGAGAAGAATGGCAAGGCTATTAGCCATTAAACTATGCTACATAGGCTGGCCGCAGTGGCTCACGCCTGTAATCCCAGTACTTTGGGAGGCTGAGGCAGGTGGATCACCTGAGGTCAGGAGTTCGAGACCAGCCTGACCAACATGGAGAAATCCCATCTCTACTGAAAATACAAAAGCAGCCGGGTGTGGTGGTACATGCCTGTAATCCCAGCTACAGGCTAAGGCAGGAGAATCGCTTGAACCCAGGAGGTGGAGGTTGTGGAGAGCCGAGACAGTGCCATTGCACTCCAGCCTGGGTAACAAGAGCAAAACTCCATCTCAAAAAACAAATAAAAAAAACCATGTTATACAGTTTGCTTATTTGTTTTAAAGAACTTTATTATTTCAGGTAAGTGGGAAAACACATTGCCAGTTATATTCTGAATTGATTAAAAAACCTTTCTTCACATCTCTTTCATAAGATGATTTATCATTTCCTGACTTAAAGGAGTGAGGAAAATCACCTCTCTGCTTTCCTATCTTACATCATCTTATTCTGGAAATTCTAAAAGTAAATATTAATAATTATAACCACCCACCCCTCCCCTATTGGGTTTACATTTCTACTAGAAAGAGAGCAACAAAAGGGAAGTTAGGTTTTAAAATAGGGTTTCCAGCAAAAGATAAAAAGATACCTTGTTTCTTGATTACAGAAGTAATATGTATTCATTATAAATGGTCACCACTTATACAGGAAAGTATACAAAAAGGCTGGGTGCTCATGCCCATAATCCCAGCACTTTGCGGGGCCAAGGCAGGTGGATCGCTTGAGCTCAGGAGTTTGAGACCAGCCTGGTCAACACAGTGAAACTCTGTCTCTACTAAAAATACAAAAATTAGCTGGGCATGCTGACATGCACCTGTAGTCCTAGCTACTTAGGGGGTTGAGGTGGAAAGATAGCTTGAACCCAGTAAGTGGAGGCTGAGGTGAGCTGAGATCATGCCACTGCGCTCCAGCCTGAGCGACAGAACGAGACTCTGTCTCAAATAAATACAAAAGAAAAAATATAACTCCATAAAAATGCTTTCAAATATATATGTACACACCCATTCTAGTTTGATGGAGTTATATGTATTTTATGGAGTTAAACATATACACACCTGTTTTTTTTTTTTTTTTTTGAGAGAGTCTCACTCTGTCGCCCAGGCTGGAGTGCAGTGGCACCATCTCGGCTTCACTGCAAGCTCCGCCTCCCGGGTTCACGCCATTCTCCTGCCTCAGCCCCCTGAGTAGCTGGGACTACAGGTACCCAGCACCACGCCCAGCTAATTTTTTGTATTTTTAGTAGAGCCAGGGTTTCACTGTGTTAGCCAGGATGGTCTCGATCTCCTGACTTCGTGATCCACCTGCCTCGGCCTCCCAAGGTGCTAGGATACAGATGTGAGCCACCACGCCTGGCCCCCCACACACACTTTTTATTCAAACTGGGGTATCCACTTTTTATCCAAAATACTCTAGAATCTGAAACATTTTGAGCACTGACATGACGCCACAAGTGGAAAACTTCATACTCAATCTCATGTGATGGGTCACAGTCAAAAAAGTCAAAATTTTGTTTCATGCACAAAATTATTAAAAATTTTGTATAAAATTACTAAAAATTTTGTATAAAATTACCTTCAGGCTTTACGGGTATTTATGAAACATAAAGGAATTTTGTGTTTAGAGTTGAGTCCCACCCCCAGGGTCTCTTATTATGCATATGCAAATATTCCCAAACCCAAAAAATTCTAAAACCTGAAACATTTTTGGTCCTAAGAATTTCAAATAAGGGATACTCAATCTGTAATAGATTCTAAACTAAGTGGTGAATTTTTAAATGGTGAAATCACTGTGCTCTTTTTAATTAATAAAAAAGATTAGGTACATCCCTCTATTTTGGGTAATTGACAAAGCCATATTGCATTCCCTCCCACTGTTCTACAAGCAGTAACGAGGCTCTCCTCTGTGCTAGATACTACACCTGGGGCTGGGGATCAAAGACAGAAGACCTAATTCATGCTCCTAAGAAGCCCATAGTCTGGTGGGAAATGGACATTTAAATAAAAAATATACAATATAAATATTGGAATGAAGGTATGTATGTGTTGCCTTCTAGAAGGAGAGGAAGACGCCTGGGAATCTGTCTGGGAGCATGGGACAACTCGATACCTGGAGAATAAAAAGCTCACTAGATAAATGAGAAAGGAAGGAGCAAGAGAAGTGTCTAACATAGTTGCAGAATGGTTGGAGTTTGGTAAGGCTGGAAGGTGAGGGTTAATGAAGGCTGAATGAGGGAGCTAGGACGGGGCAATAAAGCCGGACAGGAACATGGAGCTTGGACCACCCGCACAGCAAGAGTGCTGCTCCATACAATGTACTCAGTGCGTGTCGGCAAATAGTCTGGGGTGGCCTTAGACTGTGTTTTATAACTTTAATACCTGGCTTCACCACTGAGAAAGAGGAACAAGCTCCTCATCGTAGCGCCTACAGGTAAAATTATTTAAAAACAAAACAAAACTGAGTCCAGGTTGAAGAGTGTAGGTTTGACTCTTTCAAATTTCTCCATTTGAGGACACTGAGTACCCTTAGCTCATTGTGTGGAGTTTAGATAGCCAGCTCCCAGGATCTCTTCTTCCTCCTGTTCAAGTCTGTTATGAAAAAAATCTATTAAAATTCAGCAAAGCTTGCAGTAATTGTCTCACCTTTAAGATTTATCTTACCATTAAAAACAATCTTTCCTGCATAATTTTCTTTCTTTTTTTTTTTTAGTTTAACTTCTGGAAAATATCACTATAGTTACTTGAACAAATACTTTTTAATTTTTATTTATTTATTTATTTTTTGAGACAGAGTTTTACTTTGTCACCCAGGCTGGAGTACAACAGCACGATCTCGCCTCACTGCAACCTCTGCAGTGATCCTCTGAACCCAACCTCCTAGGTTCGAGTGATCCTTTCACTGCAGCCCCTCAAGTAGCTGGTACTACAGGCTCACGTCACTGCCCGGATAATTTTTGTATTTTTAGTAGAGAGAGGATTTCACCATGTTGGCTAGGCTGGTCTTGAACTCCTGGCCTCAAGTGATCCTCCCACCTCGGCCTCCCAAAGTGCTGGGAGTGTGAGCCACCGCACCCAGCCTACTTGAACAAATTCTAACGAATATTTGTGAACCGAGGAAGACCAGGAAATAACTGAAATGCTACACTGGACAATTGTCTTTAAAAGTATTCAGATCCTTGCTGGATAAAAATACAAATTCCAAGGTTCTTTAATGTTCTAAGAATCATACAAACTGGGACAAAACTGCCAAATGTTGATTCGTGACTCTGGTGTCCTCTCTCACGTCCTCTGAGGGTTCACTGTTGGCTTCTACAATGGCCTGAGGCTCGGCCACTAAAGACAAAGAGCAGCTTTTGTGGGTGATGCTCTTCATCTGCAGCAGGGCTTTGATATAACAGGAGCTGAGCTCTGAACTTTATTTAGCCAGAGCTGCCATATGCCCTCCAGAGGAAATACGGCTGGGAGAACTTCTCCTGTCTGGCTTGTTCTTTACATTGAAAATAACCACCAGGAGGAGCAATTATGCCCTCGTGGTAAAAGACACTGTCTCTTCCCACCTTTTCTTCTAATAGACTGGGCTCAAAGTAGAAGTTTCCTTTGGAACACTTGCTGAGAAAAGTTATAAGCAAATTGAATTCATAGGCTGGGCCTATTTTTAAAGGTTGTACAGTAGGGAACAGAGTTGAGACTAATATCTAGAAATGAAAGGGTAACTGTTGATAATCACTGGATATGAAGTATATACTTAGCAAGTGCTTACAGCAATGTAATGGGAAGACTATTTGGATTAGAGAGCCCATTTCATGTAATATTCACACTGTAAAAGGTCATCTGATGAAGTATACCTCACTTTAAAATGTGAGTACTACGAAGAGTTTGAAATTGGAAAATGATGGAATCGTGGCATTGCTTTTCCATACTGTGTTTTATAAATCCCCTCACAGGCAGAGAAAGTAACCTCCACCCCCTGTGAGGGCTTTCACGGCTTCCTAATCATTTAGGAAGGGTCTTGTACTCCACATTTAAACAAGATGCAAATCCTTTCAACTGAGCTGCAATGAGGCAGCAAAGGGAGGTCGGAGGTGCCTTGGAGTCACACAGGACTGAGTTCAAATCCCAAGCCCTTACCTGCCGCATGAACCAGGACCTATGATTTTACTAGAGGCTCAACTTCCCCATCTGTAAAATGGGCACAGTGGTACCCACACGAATGCTGTAAAGAGACTTATTTGTAAGGCACCATTATTATCCTTTTGACTTTAATGAAACAAATAAATGATGTCCTGTGTACCACTTAAGAGGCAGTTTATCATAGCGGTTAAGGGGTTTCTGGAACCAGACTGCCTGGCCTCTAGTTCTGGGTCTGTCACTTACTGTGTGACCTTGGGCAAGTAACTCACCTTGGTAGACTCAAGTTACCTAATCTGTCAAACAGGAATAATGTCTACCTCAT